ATCACTCTGACAATTAGTGAGCTCGACCATCCCCAAATGACACACGTAATTAAAGAGTTGGCATTATAATTACAATGTGTTTATTGTCTGTTTATGGGTTTTGTGCAGTGCATAACGCACTGGGAGATTTCTTTGGTGTAAATGGATTGAGGGCTGTTATTATACTTGGTGGTAAATGCGATTTCATGTGGTTAACATCTCGATATCTCCTTTATCAGCGCTTTGACAGTTGCTCTTTTTGTCGCACATACATCGCAGTTTGGCTGACAGCAGAAACTGGCACCCGAAAAAACCCCCAAATTATTTAGTCATGGGCTTTTAACGGGCACAACGGTAAATGCATGTTAAGTAAATGATGCAATTTATTCCCTTCTCCTCACTGCCAGGCTGACTGCCACGGGACTTCTGCCAGCTTTAAATAAGTGGTACCCAGATGGTATTCACATGATGCCCACTTGGTTACAAAATGGTCCTGGGGAATAAAGCTGACTGCCACAACAACCAGTGGGTCAGCCGGTGAGCCTGTTGCCTAATGTTGTGTCACTTTGCTGAATTCTTTGGGAATGTTGTATCTCAGGGGGTCCGAGATTAAATGGAAAAGAGCCTCGTTAATGAGGAGGGTGGGATAGAGAGATAGGGGAGAGAGATTCTCTGCTGGAGTTAGGCCTAGTTTTTGAGCTTTGCCTCTGGAGTGATATACGTTGGTCAACAAAGTGATTTCTTTACCATCTTATCTTAACAAAGGCAAAGTCTCTTTTCTTCTCTGCCTTCTCTCCCTGCGTCTTGCAGTCTGCCTCCTGCTCTGCAGCTGTGCTGGTCTCTGGGCTGGCTGTCTCCTGGAGAAGTGGTGAACTGTATCATCTCCAGCCACTAACAACCAGCAGCTGCAGCACCGGCCACCGCTGCAGATCGAGGGACAATGTGAAACTGATTTAGTAAACGCAGAGAAACAAATAAACAAAGCCCCTGAAAAACAAAGGAAACAATACCACAAACAACACACAGCTTATGCAAATGCTGGGGAAATGTGTTCGATCGATAAGCCCTATTTGTGTACGAAGAGACTATAGGACAAGAGTGACCATTTGCACATTACTACGCTTGCTATTTTATCCGCAGTAGCTACTCTAAAACATCTGTTTAGTTTTTTTCTTCCACAGTAAATGTAAACCCACACACATTATGAAACACGCTAGTTTTTTGAAGAGTTGTGACACGACGCTGAACTGGGGAGGGTGCTCGTTGCTGTCTACACATAAGTTGCCAGATGTTTCGAGGCAACGTATTGGTCATTGTGGTGGGAGAGGGGTCAAACTGTCAGTAGGTTAAAGGTTGTACAGCATAAAAACAAAACTGCAGCACCCACACAGTTAATTAGAGATGAGAGATTTATTGTGGGATGGTACATTTATGTCACTATGTGAAGTTGTTTTAGTTTTTGTCTTGTGTTGCTGCTGCTGTTGTGATCGTAAAATGTGTCTGTTGCAAGACACGGCAATTTCTTGCGATATTTGTTTTTTCCATGAATGAAAAATGAAATCTTAACAGCTCGTCCCATTGTTTAGCTTTTTCTCCCAGTCACCTTGTAATTGTTTCTGTGTCATAAGCAGCTATTAGTGTTGCTAGAAAATGGTAATGCTTTGAGAGACTCATCTCTCCCAGAGAATGGCTCTCTATCACACTCTCACATTCTTTTAAAAGGGAAAAGGAAGATGAATTTTGCCCATAAAGGCTGTATCACAAGGGCTTTTTATCCTAAATGGCTCTGGGGATTGTTATCTGTGGGAAGTGTGTCCTGCCTCCGTCGTGTTCAATCAAGTGTCCACTTAGCTGTGACTGGGAGTAATTGTTCCCAAGTGGGCCACACACTGACCTGTTAATGTCTGCTTTGACCCTCTAACCTTGTCAGCACGTCTTGGGGAGGAGTTTAAATCATGTGCATCTCCTCCGCATCTTTACGCTACCGGGTCAAGTGGGCGTCGGCCCTGAAAGACCACTCTCTTGTAATTGTCCCCAGCAGCATGGGTCACCCATGGGTGTTCTCAAAGATTGGCTCTTATTATATGCGGTACTGGGAGTGGTGTGACTTAATGGGTCAAGCTATTGATCTGATACAGCACCAGTGTCCACCAGTGCGGTCACAGTCTGCAATACCTGGTCACTGGCTGGACTTGCAGATCCATGTCTCCAACTATATGGGTGCTGGTCTTTTGTGAATAGCATCTCTTGTTTATGCATGGCTTAATTGTGCCCTTCTCTATTTTCACTCTGAGATTTACTTCTTTTTCACAATTTGACTTGATGTTGTCCATTGTAATTTGTGGCGTAACATGACAACACAAAACAGATGAATGGCACCATTCATATATCCGCAGCATTGATGCCCATCAATAAAGGGCCACATACATACTTGATATGATAACTGTCTGACACATAGTCAGTGCCAAATCTTATTTTGTTTTAAGTTGGTGAGAACACGTCTGACTTGCATCCTTGTAGATGTTGCTTTCAGATTTGACTTCAGCTCTTATGTACTATCAAACATCCTTGGCAACACCAAGTTATAGAAGAAGAGATGCCAAGAGATAATTAGGGTGCTGCAGAAGTGTACCTTTTGAATCAGGATTGTAATGTGAAATAGAATAAAGGTCTTACAAGCCCATAAACTTCTGGATGCACTCAGTCCCAGACACATATGCTTATAAGACAGGCAAAGGTGGGTTAGGTGCTGAAGGGGATTAAAAATCAATGCTTTGCATCTAAATTCATTTTCAGTCAATGTCAAACTTGCTCAGTTGTAATCTATAGTTAGACTTCCTTGACTGATTGATACAGAGCCATTGTTTGGCTCTGATTTGACTGTCATGGAGTGTGTCAGGAGGGAGAGAGCTTAAGGAGGGGAAAACGACAGTGACACTATACAACAAAGGTTGTGTTTTCAAACGTGCAGCAGGTGGCCTGTACTGATTTATGTAAAAAAAAAAAAACATCATTTGGCACCTGACGGACCAATTTCTGACCCTTCTCATTCTCCGCAATGCGGATGGACAGCTTCAAATGCCTTTCTGGTTTGCCTGGAAACTCACAAATGAGTGGCAATTAACACACACGCTGCAAAGTGGCTAGATGTGGAGTTTCTTCATAAACTTACATAGTTTGTATTTTCAGTGAAAAGGGGGGGATTACAAACACATGTTTCCAGAGAAGGAGTGAGTTGAGTGTTGAGCAGCTGGCATGCAAAATGCCACAAAGTGAGAATGCTTTACAGTTGGTGTTGAACCTTATGTTGGCATCTTAGCATGCAGTATATGGGTTGTTGAGTCTTTTTTATGCACAGCTGACACAATAAGATGTCATCCACTTAGCTGTCCCCTTTATCGTATGCCCTCCCATGCTATTTTACATGAATCCCATCCTCGTTGAATCTTCTTATCAAGTATTTTCCTAAGCTTGAGTAAGTTGTATGTGACAGACATGGCATTATTATTGACATCTTGAAACGTCGGCTGAAGTCGCTGAATGCCCTCTGTCGTTGATCTCAATGCTCTTTTTTGACGGGCATAGAGAAACAATAGCGCAACCATAAATCCATGGAGGGAAGCTGTCTGTTGGGATCAACAGAATTTTTGGGAGTAATGACAGAGATGCAACCGAGCAATCAGAAGGGTCTAATCTGGGTCCGATGGCAGGCCCAGGAATGTGGACTGGCTGTGGAAACAACGGCTGCACTAATGGGGTTAGTTGAATTCCACACTGGTGAATTATGAGAAGTTGGGACGTCGGGGCTAGGCTTTGTTGTGTCTGGTTGGAGAGCTACACTGCTACACACAGAAACAGAGTTATATATTTGGTTTTTGACACTTTCTCATGGAACAGGCCAATTAACTGGGAGCTGAATTGCCTTGCTGTGCGGCTGCAAACACAGCCACATTAAACAGCAAAGTGGCACACACATATATCATAGGGCAACAAGCAACACATGCAGCCATGACTCCTGTGACAGGGACAAAACCAGAAGCCATCCATTCTGCTGCCTCATTTGCATGATCTGAACTGTATCTGGAAGTCATTAGCATCTTTCCACTTGTTTATCTGGCCACAGATGAATGCATTTGAGCTTAACATCAAGTATTTGAATAAACAAAATGTCCAGCTTGTTTCAGATGTTTTTGTAGTGGTACACGTCATGCATCATGTATGTAAGAACATGTAATATTATAAATAATATTTTTTTTTAACAGAGGTGGAGACCACTGCAGGGTTTGTAGATCACTGTAAAGGCTTAACTGTGAATGCATTCTCCAGAGCACTCAGATGTGTAGCTTTGTAGTGTGTTGCAGTAGCTAAATTACCATTTGTAGTATACAGTAACTATCTCATCATGTTTATGTTGTTAGCTTGTTGTAATGACATTTTTTTATGTGTATCAGTAATGTATTTAAAATGAACTTACATATTTTTTCTTATTGGGGAACTTTGAATGCGTAAGAACAAATAAACACGATCTGTTTAATTACACTTCATTTACTTTACTGTCTATCGTATAAAAATGATTGAGAACACAAACAGCTATATCAAATTAATGCATCACAGTTTTTTATGTGGGTATTGCAAAAGTTAATTAAGGTCAACTTTGTGACATGTTTCCTGTTTTAAGGTGAGAAATGAACCACAGAAACCAGTTAATGTGATACAAACAGTTTTTCTAGTATTTTCATGTGTGTGTCCGTCATAGTTGCATATCTGCATGTTTTGATATGAAAGATAATTTTATATGCATGTAGGCCAGGAGGTGCCAAGAGGAATCAGTGTGTCATAACATATCAAATACTTGTGGCTGATGATCACTTTTACTTTTGCCTATTCTTATGTAATTTCTGTACATGTGGGCTCATTGGACCAGGTGAAGGGGCTTTCCCCACCTTTCACTTCCTGTTTGTAATAGTTGTATCTTTCCCCTTCCTTCCTTCTCTCTCTTTCTGTGTCTCTCGCTCTGTTAGTGCCCTCTGTGAAACCCCTGTGGTCCTGCCCCCAAGACTGTGAGCTGAATTCTGATTGGAGGAATGGAGTGCCAGTCTGTCCTGCACCAGTGATCAGGGTATGTGGCAGTCCTCCCACTCACCCCCTCTCTTATTTCACACAGTAATGTGTGTGCTGTTTGTCTGTGAAGTGACTCCAAACACTGTTAAGTCTGACTGTTAGGCTGTTTGAATCAGTCCATAATTAGCTTGAAGCAGATCTCAACAGATGTTTTCTAAGCATTTCATCAGTTTTATTGTTCAGCTGTTTAGGCCAGTGAGCATGGATATGAGTGATAAAGACACAAATTGTACAGATATGGGGCAGGCATTTTGGGGGAAATATCTTATTGTGATTTTACTGACCAATATTGCATTTTTTTTTTTTTGTATAAATCAAACTCCAGGACTGTTTTTGTGTAGACTGGTTCCAGGCCTATGAATCGCTGCCCACATGTCTGGATTTGCCAGTGATTTAAAAAGGTGAATGGCTGTTTCTTAGTTTTAAAAAGAGCCAATCAGATTTACTTCACAACCAGTAATCCTGGAGGTTCTGATTCAGAGCTTTTAACCTTAAGCAGGCAGAAGTGGAAAATTAGTTGTAAAAAATATTATAATGTTATAATGTATGTTATTTGCAACCAAGTAAAGCATTTCCAAAAAAATGTTTTCAATATTTTGTTTATTTCAGATTTTATGAGTTGTATCTCCCAGGAAACGTTGCCCTATTAATTCTGAATATAGATTTTAAAATGAAAAATCTGCACTTTCAGGTACTGTGGATTGCTCAAACATATACTGAACACCATAGTGACTCTTGAGGTACAAAGTGGCATTGCAGGCAAGTACAGACTAAAGTTAGCTGGTTAGCGTGCTACCTTTAGTAAATATTTCATAGTCACCATTCAATAAATTTGCATCATATTACATCAATATGTTATTACTTTCCAATTCTATTGATCTTGCAAGTTAATGCTTAGATGTTTTACACTATAATCATTATGGATTGCACCCTGGAACAAAATCTTGTCACATGGGGGTCCGTGGTCTAATTTGTGTTAGTTTGGGGGTCCCTGATGTGAAAAAGTTTGAGAACCACTGCTCTATCACTCTCATCCTCTCTCTCACTTCTATAACGTTAATCGCCTTTCTGCTGCCATAAAATGAGCTAACTGGGATGCCCTGCAGGACAAAATATGGTTATAGTGTCATAATCTTCATACCTGAACATGAACATATCTGTTTATTAGGGGTGTCAATGACCAGAGGCCCCACGATACGATATTACCACAATACTTTTGTCACGATACGATATTATTGCGATTTTATTTAACATATTGCGATATATTGCAATTCATTACCTTTTTCCCATCTTCAAATTGTGTCACCAAAGGAAAACCTTTTTTGTCATGGACTGAAAAAGCAATTGATTTTATTATTATAATACCAGAAAGGAAAATTCTATGTACTATTTATATAATAAAAGATTGATGCTTGACATCTGTGTCAATACAGTATTGCCACGGAAAATATCACGATACTATGCTGTATCGACCCCCCCCCCCCCCCCCCCCTTTGAATATCGCACATTAACCATTCCTTACCCATAATCTGGCAACATATCTTGTGGGATACCTACATTTAAAAAGTTGCTAAAAATGGAGTGAAATGGAGTGTTTCTGGACAAAACTTTCACCTCTTTACATTTCAAGATGTCAATAAATCAATTGTATTTTTAAGCAGAAGTTGTAAACATTCACTGGTTCCAGATTCTCAAATGTGGATATTTGTTTTGTTTTTTTTAGTGTTTCTGAGAGAAAACTGATGTCTTTGGGTTTTGCACTGTTGGTTGGACAACACAAGACATTTTAAGCCATTTCCTTGGGCTCAAGGCATTTTTCACTATTCATAGACATTTTGTAGACCAAACAATTAATCAATTAATTTGGAAAATAATTGGTAAATGAATTGATAATGAAAATATCCGCTGCAGCCTTAATAGGCATGTCATTTTGTTTGATCTTCGAGGTTTATGAATTTGAATATTACACCTATATTTGCCAACCTTTGCCAGTTGAAATTGTGTAGTAACAGTAATAGTAATATTAATAATAAATACAGCTAATTGCACCCCTGAAATCAATTAAATATTTGATATCTGTTAATACATTATACCCTCTACCTGAATGTTGCACCGTCAGCTGCTTTGTGTTCGTGACCCTCCTTTGTTTTTTAATATCTCTGGCGTACTGTCGTATTTCTGTCCCTCTGTTCACCTCTCTCGGCCCTGACAGCCCTGATTGGCTGAACACTTTCTGCACTATAGTTTGGCTTCTTGCCAGCCGTGCTGCCAGTGGCTGCGGTGCCCCCTGATCAGAAGAGAATGTGACATTTGTGCAGAGGTAATGGAATCTGCGTGCAATTAAATCTCTGACTGTGAAGAGGAGTCTATCTCATCCCTGCTCCCCCCAACTCCTGCCATTGCAAGCAGCAGGGGGGGTCAGGCACGATGATGAAACCTTTCCCAGCAGGCCCCTCTCCGCACTCTCTTTCCCAATCTCCATGTCAGGTTGTGTTTTTTAACTTTGCCGCACTAGCCCTGCCTCTATCTGGCAATTAATTACAGAAAACGTCCATTAGGAATCTCTCCAAATGTTGTGTAAGAATTAATATTCAATTATAAGAATTACATTACAGGGCTGCATCATTACAAATGCTTTAATGAATTCTGCTGCAGGTGACAGTTGTTATTTTGTGGTGACTGTTGTTTGGTGGTTAAGCATGTTTTGATGTATTTTTGCATGGGGAGTGGTAGAGAGGAAGAAAGTGAGGCAGAGGGCAGATTTATGCATGGTTGAGCAGAGGGTCATATCTCTCTATTTCTCTTTCTCTGCTGCCCTGCCACTACACTTAACGCCTCATTTGTGGGCTTTGTGGCCAATGGCTTGAGTCTGTGATCTGTTGCCATAAAAGGCAGCATTTTCCTCTCTGCTGATGGGGCACTTGCTTGTGGGTTAATACTAGACCCCCTCTACAGGCGGACTCATATCTAATGGATATGTGTATCCCCATCAGGATAGCTCATAAACATAAAACTCTCTGCTGCCATTGTACTTGGTGTAGCTGGTTGGGAAGGACAGAGCCACGCCATGCAAGCATTTCCCTTGAACTGGTGTAGGAGTAGTTCCTATCTGTGTTCTTTGTCCACACTGGGTGGACAGAGATGCAGGATATCCAGGTCAAGGTTTGGCTAAATCCTCCCTGTCGTTCACACCCTGTGTGGGTCTACCTAAATGGCACAATGTTAGTTCATACCTCTCTTCAGATCAGACACTGGACTCAATATGAATATTAAATTGGCAATGCATGTTCCAGTTCATTTAAACAATGAAAGATTACATTTAATTTTTCACAACGCTGCTGCCAAATGTCAGCTTTAATACGACTGTTTTTCTGTCACGTTCAACTCATTTTTTCACATTCAGCTTCCCCGGTAATGTATTTTGTCATGATGAATTATTAATGTCAGGGAGTGTTGTCTCAGAAAATAAGAGGGTCACTCTGTTTCTTCTTTGTTCTTCACCCAAGGGTTAATTTGAACCAACATTCAAATGAACCTCCCTATTTCCTCGCTGCACTATGGGTCGTAATGAAAACTGCTGGGTCTTAACTTTATTCACTAACGTCCTGCTGAACAAATACAACACTATTCCTCTTGGCTCTCTCTGTTTTCCTCTGTTGCAGATGGCTTTGCTGTGTTGCGTGATACACAGGAAAAGGCTTTGCTTGGGGAAGGCGAGAGAAAGAGGCTTACTCCATTAGTGTGATTCGAATGGTGAATTAGATCAGTCTGACAGATAGATGCGGAAAATTGTTTTAATTGTATAATTATCTGTGGCTAGCCACTTGTGCGGAAAAGTGCTGTGATGTTGTTGAAGGCCAGGGAAGAGCACATTTTGGCCTTTATGTGCTTATTTTGTCTTTGTACAGGAAATGAACAACAATTGGGGGTCCTGAGGATAAAATATAAACACACCCAAACTCGCAGACACTCACACTCCCCCTGGGCAGGTTGTGGCGTGCTCAGTGAGATGCTGCGTCTGGCCAGTGAGCCTTTTCCTCAGGCAAAGAGGAGGGCGCCTGTAACTGTCTGATCAAGATGGCACAACTTAACACAAATGTAACAGCTATGCAGAATGGCTCACTTAACACTGCTGGCGCTTTGAAGAGAATGAGAGGCCCAATAACTCGCTTAATTACATTCAGCTGATTTCTGACAATATATAAAATTCAAGACTACAGACAGATGCCACAGACTCTTTATCTCTGTCACTTGGTCTGAACTGTTTTTTTTTGTACTGCAACACCTTCCCATGAACTAGTTTGCATGAAGTACCTATCTAAACTGCCAGTTTGGTTGGAAAATAATCCTGTCTTCCCGTTTCAAACAGTAAGGAGCTACTTCACTGAAACAAACGTCTTGTTATGTACAGGCTCAGAAGGTAGAGCGGGTCGTCCACTAATCAGAAGGTCTGCAGTTTGATCCCCGGCTCCTTCAGTATGCAAGTGTCCTTGGGCAAGATACTGAACCCCCCCGCCATTGTGTGTGAGTGTGTGTGAACGTTAGTTCCTTTCTGATGTGCAGTTGGCACCTTGCATGGTAGCCTCTGCCATCAGTGAACGAATGGAGTGAAAGTGTCATGTATTGTGAAGCGCTTTGAGTGGTCGGAAGACTAGAAAGGCATTTTACCATTTAACTACAAGACTAATTTAGCTTAGTCTTACTTTCTTCATCCTTTATCCTCAGATCACAGTTTTTATGGTTTTGAATAGAAGTAGTCTCCCATTGCATGCTTTGCACATGGAATGTCATCACTGTTAAAGCAGTAAACTGCTTAGAATTAAATATCGCGACTGTTTTAACAAAGGTTTTATCTACGGATTAAACACTTTAGGACTAGGACTTTCCTCATCTTAATTCCATTTGACGAATATTTTGCAATTTATCAGTGAAAAAATGTGTTGATTTAATTTTGTAAACATATGTATTACCCTGTTTGGTGTCCTCGAAATATAAATT